GAAGAAGAAGAAGAAGAAGAAGAAGAAGAAGAAGAAGAAGAAGAAGAAGAAGAAGAAGAAGAAGAAGAAGAAGAAGAAGAAGAAGAAGAAGAAGAAGAAGAAGAAGAAGAAGAAGAAGAAGAAGAAGAAGAAGAAGAAGAAGAAGAAGAAGAAGAAGAAGAAGAAGAAGAAGAAGAAGAAGAAGAAAAGAGTTTATTATTGGCCTTGCTGCTAATACAGGTCTGCAGGTCTAGGATACAGATTTGCAGGTCTAGGATCACACAATTCCTTGCAAGGGAGTCATAACTTTGAATTCTGGGTCTAACGATACTTTTTTTTTAAAAGAAAGCCCCCCCCCCCAAAAAAAAACAGGGGGCAAATATGAGCTCCTCCAGGATTTACCCATTTTTGCAAAGATGATACCCTAAATTTGCAATCGGGTTGCTTCACCCAGAGAAGACTCCTTCAAACTAACCTTCGGTCCAGTTCCACAGAGCCGCTTTTCTCTTTGCAAGGCCTTATAGTCGTTTATCGTCTTTATCATTTTTTTAGTCTAAGCACAGAGGAAATAAGGCAGGAGTCCCGTGGAGAACAATGGGGACGGGAGAAGAAAGAGATAAAGAGAATTAAAAACGACAAGGTCGGATGGAAGGCAAAATTGCCGTGAAGAGACATTAAATGCCACATATTGTGGTTCACCCTCTTGTTATTCCCAAAATCAGAAGCACGCTGTTGGACCTAACGATATAAGCACAGCCCAAAACTGTAATCTGAGTATTCTCGGCCTGCAATTCTCAACGTGTAATCTGGGAACCCCTGGAGATCCTCAACGATCTTTCAGGGGATCCATGAAAGATGTTGGGTGTTCTCCTGGATTCACGGTTGACATTGGATGACCAGTTGTCGGCCGTGACCAGGGGAGCGTTTTATCAGGTTCGCCTGATTCGCCAGTTGCGGCCGTTTCTGGACCGGGACGCCCTACGCACGGTCACTCATGCCCTTGTGACTTCCCGCCTGGACTACTGCAATGCTCTCTACATGGGGCTTCCCTTGAGGA